ACGTAATACTACTACTACGTAGGTAAGTAACGTAACGTACCGTACGACGACGACTATAAGTAAGTACCGGACCCCGTACCCCTACCTACTACTCACACACTCTCCTCCTACTACTCTCTCTCTCTCTCTCTCTCTCTCTCTCTCTCTCTTGCTAACCTGAAGAGGCCTAGGGTTGGGAAGCACCACCTAGGACACAAAGAGGAACCAAGCCCTAGAGTAAGTTGGGGGGTGCCACATAGTGACATGCCCCAAAGTTTAAAAAGGGGTCTAAAGAGGCCCTAAGTGGAGTGGCCCATGCTCACAAACCCATAGTTTTGTGATAGGTTATTCCAGAGGTGCTTCCTGTTTCAGAGGATTGAGCGAAACTTAAGGATCAAGTGCGCACTCGGTTTGTAATCAAGTGTGGGATATGCTAAGTCTTAAGTGGGTGACCTAGGCAAAGGTTCAAAAAGTCTTCCCAGTGTCATTTATTAATGTCATTTTCAGTTCTTGATTCATATTTGTTTTAGAATTCCCACTTGTAAGTTTGAATTATTTTTAATAAAAGTTTTTATTTTGGCAACAAGATTTAAAGATCCGACTGTAGTAGGTTTATTTGTGCATTATAATCTTTTTAATGTGTTATTTCTGCATTATATTGTGGCAATTGTGAGTAGAAATTCCAATTATTAATAAAGAAAAGATAAATTATTTATACTTCAGAATCCTACATCGCCACACCCTTTCAGATGTTGCCTGACAGGTTGCCCAGATACTCAACAGTCGACCCTTGTGTGGTGTATATTTCTTGAAGACTCCCTCATATCATGGAAATGCAAGAAATAATATAGTGTCAAAATCCTATGTCTAGGCTGAAAACATAGTCATGTCCTTAGCTTGCAGTGAAAGCAGGTTGAGAGGTCTTTTACGTGACCTCGATATTTTTCCTCGATCTCCAATGCCTTTATATGCTGATAATATGAGCACCATTTGTATTGCTGCTAATCTAATGTTCCATGAGTACATAAAGCATATAGAAGTTGATGACCATTTCATTCGTGAAAATTTCCTTGCTGGAGAGATCACACTCCCACATGTTACCTCACAACAACAACTTGCAGATATTTTTACCACGGCAACAACTCAAGCTCAATATAACTCTCTATTGGAAAATCGATGTTAATCAACCAACCTCAATTTCAGTAGAAGTGTAAAGATTGTTGAAGATCTTGCATTATTTATAGTGCATCACACCATATATAGTAAATGTAGTGTATCATATCATATATTGTAGGACTATTATATAATATTATAGAAGGTGAAGTGTTGTATTACACCTTGTACTCTATTCTGCTATGCAAATTATGAAGCATATCTTGCCATGCAAGTTACCCTCATGTTGTGTGTGTGTATGTGTGCATAGATACACATACAACACATATACGTTGATAATAGTGAATGATATAGACAAGTCTTCCTTTCGCCTCTTTGAGTGTTTTACAATTTGCACAATACTCATGTAACTCCATTTTGTGATGTTGGGTATGCCACATACGTGTGTCTGATGACTTATTTGCAATAATGACATTATTCTCTCCCAGCAGAAAAAAAAAAGTATTGCAAGTCACCTGCTACACAAGTGCTATCTACTTTTGCTCAAAGACATTTTTTTAGGTTCAAAGCAAAGATATAGAAATAGGCTATCACCTAGCTCAAAAGGAATCTTTAAATGAAAGTTGCATTCAATCTTTTTACATACAAGTCATTGAAATGCACTGCAGTTTAGGACATAAGCATCCATCACTAACTGATGGAGAGTGCAAAACAAGGATTGCACTTTGCACCTGTCACTTAAATTTGAGTTATCATGATCATAACAACATCGTGTAGAATGAGCTAAACCAGCTAAGGAGAGATCAGTGAGATAAACTTTCCAAGGCTTAAGTTCAATGTACTTTATTTTTGTATATTTCACAATATGCTGCGTAGAATATAGTTCCAAAGAAAAAATGAAGTTTGGTTGACATGAATATAATATCAAAACCACAAGAAATCATACACAACTTGACAAAATTTCCATTTATATAATGTTTGATCATTAACTGTACAGTGTAGCAAGATATGGCCATTCATTTCAAAGTAACAGCAATTTCCATAAGTGCTAAATTTCTACATGGAATCCACCAAGGTCATACCAAAAGACAATAACAGAACTGTAGAAATTTCACATGGAACTTTTATATGCCATTTAAAAGAAAGTTTTAAACCACCTTGATTTATGAAAACATCAAAAAGAACTTCAAATCTTTCAAAAAAAGCAGCAAGTATGTGTTCCCTCCTCAAACACTGTGCACCAGAAGTCAACTTCTGTAAGACTGCATTCAAGCATGTCGTTGGCTCGTGATTATCAACATTCAGACCGATACCTGCAAGAGTATTGTAGGATTTGTTTCACTACATAACAACTATGTGGCATTAAAAAAGACCACTGACAATTAAGAAATAAAAAAAAAAGGGAAAAAAAGCACCCCAATAATCATACAAAAATATTGGTAAGTTCCTTTCTGACATGAAAAAAAAAGTAACACAAAGGAAGAAACATATTCAAATCTTCTCTCTTTTCAACCAAAGTTTGAATGAGTTCCTTTAAGCTAGAAGAGAATAACAACAGTCAAGGAAAACAACCTTAAGACAACCTTAGTGGGAATAGGATTTACCAGCACTAACATTAAACTTCTTGGATCTATATGTTGAGGTGCACAAGATTCCTCCAACTTTAAGGCCATTCAAGTAAAGGTCATTAGGCCACTTTATTTTGACATCAAGGTCTGGCAGTCCCTGAAATTAGGAGATTATTCCAAGGAAATCAAAAAATGGAAACCAAAGGTTACTTGCTTTGAAGGACCGTCCCAGCATAAAGACCAAGGTGCCTTAAGAAATGTCAAATAAGAACTCAAAAACAAAAACAGAAAATTGACAATGAAACTGTGTTACGATTCTACAATTCTAAAATTTAGTGCTGCAAAGTAACGTTATTCAGAAATTAGAGATACGAAATCAAATTTATGAAAGGCCTGAATGAAACTGTCAATAGAAAAACTAGAGTATCAACCCCCTGCAGTCTATACCCATCCAAAAGCGAACCACTGCAGTCCACATAATAATGTACGATACATAATTAGATCTCCTGGGTAGGCAAGAGCTGGGCTCTAGAACATCATAGTGAAATTTGGATGTCAAAGTGTTAAACTATATATGTTTATATTCATTGTAATTATCATATTCACTACAAGACCCTCATGGAGACTCCTAAATTTTAGAGAAATTGGTGTCACTAGGACATAAATTTATCTAGAGAATGAAATAAATAAGGTAATGATTCAACGATAAAACAAACTTGGCATAGTCAATGGCACTCCACCTTATCATTTACATACCTTGGAGGCTCAATATTAGTAATAATTAATATATTTTGATAACTTTTTCTTCATTGATCAGAAAATTAGATTCACATGGCAGCATGGTTAGCACAAACATTCGAGGTGAAAAATCCAACAAGCCTAGACAATTGTCGTTTTTCCCCAGCTGGGAGTATCAAATCGCATAGAGAACCATTCAGTAAATATCAACTTTCCAACCAAGGCAGGTTTTGCACTTTAGCTTAAATCAATTTGGCTTACTTTTTATTTTTCTCCAATCAGATCTCACATGAACCTGCAAATACCTTTCTGTACCTCCTCTTCTCCTTTTTTCTTCAACGTGACCTCTAAAACACATCATAAAAAAAGGCTTCCCCGTACATTGTCCCCCGATTCCCCTAGGTTTCCTTCTTTCCACTCTATTTGGTTGTTTCTTCAGTTTCACAAAACCACCCCTCACCTGTCACTCGCCCATCAAAAGCCCAAGCATCCATCTCAAATTCCCCTTAAATCTCCACTACCCCTGTATCCACCTCAACTCCCTCAAGAAAAAGATCAATCCACATGCCCTTAATGCTGCCTTGATCCCCTTTTAACCCCACAGATGCTTAGTGCTCAATCTCATATCATCACCTGTAACCAGTACCTTTTCCACTCTCTCAGCATTGAAATCCGTGAAATGTTTGAATTAGTATCCAGATGATATTAAGCTAAACCTCATAAAGAATTTTAGCTGCTGTTGCAGCCTCTTCAACTACACAGTCACACTCCTACCAACGCAAGTCCCTTCCCCCCTCCCCCAAACAGAAATTTGAAAGTTTTTGCATTATATTTACAAGTCTATAACAGTTACCCTTAAAAATCCAGAAATAACACCCTTCCACCCACCTCCCAGACCTCTTTAATATCAGTGCACAGAACAAATAATCATTGAAGAAGAGAGAGCAGATTCAAACTAGCAGCCCAAAGTAAGGAGTTCACCATAAAAATTAGGATAAGGAAAAGCATACTCACTTTTTCTTTGCATATCACCTTTATTGCTTCAGTTACTGCAAGAGATACAACATATTGCACATGAGGTACAATGCGTCCATTATCCATTTGTAAGGTGAAAGAGAAAAGAAGACATCCAACTGGTGATTGCCACACATTTTTTGCACGACCTGTAATTGCATAATTTAGAACACATGATAAGGTCTGAGTACAACAGATTTAGAACCTTAGTAAAGGCAAATGATTGAGTACATTTGAGGAAATCAAACCTCTCCCTTTGACCTGAACATCGGCAATGCATGCTGTGCCAAGAGGAAGCTCACAGAAATTTCTGCCCCAGAACAAAAAGTTTAAGTTTCAGAATATTAATCCGAAGAATCTCCCAAGAATCTCCCGAGAAACAGATAGTCTGAGAGTCGTTCAAATTGTCAAAACAATATACACAAGAGTGAAAGTAATTTCTTACCCAAAAAAAACAAACTGAAAATAATTTTATTTCATATACTTTCAAAGAACCCAGACGGTGAAGAATGTACTCAAAAGCAAGCATATAACAGGTAAAAATATCCAATGCTTATGAAACAACTAGTTAAAACGCAAAAAGATAATAAAGAAAAACACTTACAGTGAAACGAGATCATGGGTCGAAGATATCCGAGGAGACCAGATAAGCAATCTACCAAACTGATGTGTTGAAAGGATATCCATGTATGAATCTATCTGAAAAGTTTTGGTAGCATCATTCTGCTGCAATTCAGATTGCAGCAATATTTGTAGTTCTCCATCAGGGAGCCTAAGACTCTTCTTATGCTTTAGAGATGATGCATACTCCTCTTCTGAACGTGACTTCCCACGTAAAACAATAAGAAACGCTGAGTCTTCCATGCCTAAGAAAATTCTTGTAATCAGTAATGCCATGTTGCCTCAAAAAATCAGAAGATAGCTAGAAGTGCTAAGGCATAAATGTGCTAATAAACCCATGACACAGGGAATCTCCAATAACTGAGGATCTGAAAATGTTTGCATGATATAGATGCACGAAACAAGGAACCTTGCTATAGAACGCCTAAAAGGACCTCTGAAACCTCCAACCATTTTGGCTATCGGATCCAGCACTTGATAAGCAATTCAAAAACAACTGAGACTTTCAGATATTAGAATTGTGCCACAAACCAAAATGGCTCCATTTGGCCCACTAAACATAACACACACCAAAACACAAAACTCATATATTTCAAAAATAAGTCAGACACACAACTTCAAAAATGTGAGTCAATAATTTCGCTCCTAAAGTTATGAATTATTGACTTAGCGAATAACAGTACATTAATTGCTCAACTATTTCCATCCAAAGGGGATGGTCATGTTCATGTTTTAAATATCTACATATAAAATAGCAATTCCTGACATCTACTGGAAAAGAGGCTAAATGTTTGGGGCTGCAAAGGGGATGACCATGCACCACTTTAAATTCATCACATCAACCAAGCAAATGAGGCCCCGAAGGTTAGAGATGACCCAGACTGCATTCTAAATAAACACAATAAACAATTTACTGAATGAATTTGTGCCTCGAGTTACTCCTCCAGGAAACAAATCATTCTCAAATTACACAAATTGACAATGAGCACTGTTGATAAAAAAAAACGAAGCACTAATGTTCCAAAGTCCAAACAATTGCCTTTTATAGTTAAAACAGAGATTGATACAATCGAGTGATCTGGATTTCTAGAGCGACCATTAACAATCGCCATAGTCTCTCAAACCAATAATAATTAGACTATCAACAATGAAATTTTATGACACTGAAGCGTACCATAACAACTAAGGATTCCATATTCATACACTAATCGACATTCAAGATCTCACATACCAACCACAACTCCATGTGACACATTAGTTTAATTGATAACAACAACACATCAATCAAATCAAACTTCAGGTTCATAATATCACTTTCCTACAGTAATTCCTCTCGATCCAAAAATTATAGACTAAGCACCTCATGTCAAAGTATCCTTCCACCCATTCAGGCCTCCTCAATGTGTTGAGGAGGTTTCAGAGGTCTAGAGATAACGAAAACTAGCGACTGAGAGGAAAAACATAAGTATCTTTTTCCCTTATGTAAGCAATTGGGGAAGAAAGAAAATTCTCCATTTTTTAATATATGTTTAGCAAAACAAGTTTACTTGGGTATTTTGAAAGCAGTTTGTATTTGAAAACCAGCCGAACAAAAATTGTTCTATTTAAATTGATGGCTATTCTGCTTAAATATTTTTTAAAAGCCTATTTCTCAGTGTGAGTAAATTATATGGGCAAACTGGCAAATAGGCATGCAGACTTCTCTCACTAGAAGAAAGCTGTAAGTAAAAAAAAAAAAAATCATATGCACATTTAGCACTTCAAGAACTGCTTTACCAGCACATCCGGTTAAGTGTTAAGATTTTGGGAATGGGGTTGAGGCCGTGGTGGGAGCACCGCTTGAGCCTCAGCCACCGGTCTAGGTTTCCATTCCCACTAACGCATTCGAAAAACCGATAATTATTTCTAAAAACGGGAAGGGGCCCGTATTCCCCACTGATCTACCAAAAAAACTGCTTTACCATCAGTTCCGGGCAGTTAGTTCAACCGTAAAAATAGTTCAGAGCTTTGCTAAGCATTTTATTTTTTTTATTTCAAAGAAAATAGTGTTCTCCATTTGAGTGAAGGAAAGAGGAAACAATACAAGTCCACTTGCACAATCATGGCTCTGTAAAATCAGTAATCTTTCCCGCCATGGGTCAAAATCGTAATAAACTGCAAACATCAGAATTAATTCCAGGGCAGTGGGGCGACTACACTACTAAATGAAGTTAGACAGAGAGAGAGGCGTACCTACTGAAGAATTAAGTTTTCTGGTAGATAGAGAAAGACTGGAATCGAAGAGCGTTTTGAAGTATGGATGACGGAGAAAGCAATGACTACTGTTAGCGATGAGACTATGTCTCAGTTGCATGCTCTCCCTCTCACTTCCCTTGAATGGTAGATGTAAGATTTCAATTTGAAAGTATTGAAAAATAAAATAACTATACAGGATGCTGTTTTTATAAGGGTGTGGTTGTTTAAGGTTGAGGCTCTAAACAATCAAAGTAAGGCCTACCTCTAAATAGTATCAAAATATGATTTTTGAGATACAAAAATCATCACATCTGAAAATTTACTTTCATTTCTAATTATAAAATTTAAAACTTCAAAAATAATGTAGATTGAGTAGATTTATAAACATTTGAAAATATTAAAAATTGACAGCCTAGTTAATGTATTACAAGGTACTATTTTCTACCGTTGAAATCCATTTTTTTCATGTCTATACATCTTGACGTCGAGTTGATTGATTTGAGCGTTTTTCAACATAGAAACAATTTTTTCTAGTGAATTTTTTAAGTGCGCTTTAATTTGATTATTTGTGGCCTCAAACTTATATGAAGTTTTTCTTTTAGATAAACTCTAGGTTTTATGAAAACAAAGTAAAGCCGCACATTGAATCCTTATCCATAGAGCATTTTGGGCATCAAAAAACTCCATAAAAACTCTAAAATCAATTTCCAACGCTAACTATGAAATTCGAAGCTAAAAAAGGTACTAATCTTGTAGATATGTAAACACTTATTCTTAGAGGAAAATAGATTGTCTAGATAATGTTTTATAATAGTATACACTATTTTTAGAGCTTTATATCCTAATGTTTTTCACAACCAATCATGATTAAGGCCAAGATTATTGAGGTGAGACTTTTGCTTGTTTTGATGGGGTTGCAACCCTATCAAAATATTTTCTAATTTTAAAATACTAACTAATAAGGCTTAATATTTTTAATAAGGGCTATGCTAGGGTAGTTTCCACATTGAGTATTTTTTTAATGTACTTAATATTTTTTGACATGTATCGTTTTTGCTTTGTAATAATAAAAATTTAAGCAATGGCATTTTTTATCATTAGGAGGGATAAAATATATTTTTCTGTAAGAAACTAGTGGTAACTAATATTATATATAGGTGATATCATGTTTTATGTGGATGATGTCATTCTTCATTATAATTACTAAATATTTTTTATCAAAAAGACTTATATCACCATTAATTAATTACCTAAAATACCCATTTACAAAAGTGGTATTACATTATATCAGGTTGTAAAGAAGCTAAAGTGGTAGATAAAGGCAAAAGACTATAGGGGAGGAATATAGTGGAAATTTTAGTTCTCTCGCAATCGATTGCCGAATATTTTGATTCAGCAGTGTGCAGAGCTAATGAATCTTCTTGAAGGCATCCGTGTTTCACAATCAATGAATGATGATATGGTGTGGGAAGCCCACAATGCAATTTAGAGTTTGGTCAACATATGATCTTTATTTTATAACGGGTTGTGGTGGAATTATGTATCCATGATAAAAGTCTGGGAATAGCCTTTATCGTTTAAAGTTCATAGTTTCTTGTGGATTTTATTTCAAGGTATGACTTTGTTCGTGGACAATCTCGTGAAAAGGGTGAGGATGCATGGTGACCAGTTTTTCTTACGTTGTTCCTGCTTTTATAGAGTAATGATCCTATAGGACTTTCTCCTACTTGTTTGTGTAGAACTCTAAAGGATCACCATTAAATTTGGTACGGATCTTTAAAAAATTTATTACATGGGATGGGATTCGACATTTTTAGAGATCCATGGCAAATTTAATGGTGATCCTTTAGGGTCCTACACACTTAGATAGGAGAGGGTCCTATATGATCATTTCTCTTTCTTATAATATATGGTGTTGGATATTTCTAATACGGGGGGTGTCAATGGTTTTTCTTGGATCTCTTGTTGAGATTTTGGATCAATGGGGCTATATAAATTTATTTAGAGCTGGAAAATGATTTGGCAGATTTCTAAGGCTGCAGGTTTATGGGAGATATGGAAGGAAATAAATAATAGAGTTTTCGAAAGCAGAATGGCAGAGTTGGGTACGGTGAAGCCAAGGATTATTCACAATATTTGGAGTTGGTTTTCTATCATTAAGGAAGGTTTTGGGATATCTAAGGTTGATGTTTCGGTAAATCCTGAAAATTTAATGGGCCAAAGGATGATTAAGTTCGACTAAGATATATATGGTGTCCGCTCATGAATGGTACTATCAAGTTGAACTTTGATGGGAGTTCTTGGGCAATTGATTAAGGTGGGGTGATTAGGAATTTAAATAGGGAAGTTATGGTGGTCCTTGTGGGATGACAACTGCAACTGGTGCAGAGATGGAGGCTATGCTTTAAGGTGTGTGTATTATTCTTCGACGATTTAGGACCTGCCCATGCATTGTTGAAAGGGATTATATGAATATTATCAATTGGTAAATGAAGGACATTCGATCGCCGTAGAAATTAAGAAGTGCATGGAAGGAAGTCATGGATATTACCAACCAATTGATGGCCTCTTTCCAGCATATATGCAGGGAGGCTAATGAGACAGCGGACAAACTTGCAAAACAACGGAGTGCAAATGGATGAGTTGTTGATTTCCAAAAGATTTTTTCTTTGATATTAATACTTTTTAATTATTAATGAAGTAAATGTGCTCTTGTCAAAAAAGAAAAAAAAAGAAAAAGAAAAAAGAAAAGAAAATAAGAAGGTAAGGTTGAATTGGGCCAACACTAGCCCGGGACCTCGGACTACAGTTTGTAGCCTAGGCCTCATTTTTTAAGGCAGCGTCGGGCCAGGTCTCCAAGCCCATTGCCACCCCTAAAAAGCCCCGGTTGTGAAGAACCATGATTAACGATTCATCTTGGCCAAAAATTGACTTGAGCAAAGGCACAATCATCTTAACCGACTATTAAGCACCTACTGCTGAGACTACATGTACTATCGCTGCTACATGTAGTATTGTAATACCATGGGAATATGTACTATACATATCTGAATACTGTATGATGCATGGTCTGATCTGCCGTCCTTTTTATCAACGGAAGGTCATGATAGGCTAGAATTACTGAATCAAATCTGCAAAAAGTTGTTCATCTCCAGCATTTGTGACCATATGGACTGTGGATGATCAGTTTGTGTATTGTAAGCAATATACTACGCGTATTTGGAATGTAATCTCACCCCCCATTGGTGTATGGAACAACATACTACACTAAGCAGCAAAGGACAGTTCAGATTCATCATGCCCCTTCGATCATGAAATGAACGGTTGAATGCTCCTATGGTGTACCATGTGCCTACCATACAAAACATAATTGGTGCACGTATGGTGTACCTTTCCGCTTTTTTATGTTGTGTGGCGAAAGTTTTAGTAGAGGAAGCGGGAGATCCAATGGGGGAGTTGCAGAGCTATCTTTTGAAGCAGGGACTGAGCGTGTCCTCAATTTCAGAGAAAGGGAGATGCCTCTTCGTTGGGAGGGACTTTTCACCTGGTAATTTATCCTTTACTTGACATTCTCTTCTTTTTTGTTTCTGTGAGAGCAATTTTTTTGGGGTTCATCCATGTCTTTATGTTATTCCTATTTAATATGGATTTTAGTTAATTGGGTTTTCTTTTTTGGTCATTTTTATTATGAAAATGGCTCCTTTTGATTCATTTGGAATGAAATATGGAAGAACAATGGGGGGTACTTGTTACTATATATAGAAAAAATAGTGGGTTCTTGTTTGCAAACTGCAATTTCTGTGTCCTTTCAAATTTTAGAATGTTGATATTGTTATCCTGACTTGGTAGAAAAATGTAATATCTCTCTATAGGTTAAGGTGAGACAAAATATATTGCTTGAATGTTGGAGTATTGAAGTTCATTGACATATTAATCTTCACTTATATCCCATATGAGCAAGGTTATATTAGTTTACATTTTATTTATTTTTGGCTACTTGGTTCTCTCATTTGGTGAATTTTGACTTGAAAGGAATTCCTTATGATGCATTTGGAACTTGTATTTTTTGGAGCATTGAAGGACCATGTGGGGTTCTTGTATGGAAGAATTATTTTGGGAATGGCGATAGTGTGTTATTATTCTTATTTTTCGACTTGGTAAAACAATTTCTTTATGAGTTAAGATGGGAAAGAAGATATTGTTTGATGTGATGATGAAATATTGGAATTTCATGGCATGCTATAGTGTGTTTATGCATTTTGATATATGTGTGAAAATGTTGTGGAGAAATTTAAATTTCTAAAAAAACATATTGGAGAACTGTACTGTTGTGTTGTTGTTATATTCTATTTACAAGTCCTTTGTCCAAACTAGTATGATGGCTTCTTTTTCTTCTGCATAGTTCTGTGGTAGGAGTCGAACTAGGGACGTAACTAGGGACGTAGTGTTGCAATTGTAATTAATCAAGCCCAAGCTCAATACCTAAGAAAAGTATGTTGCTTGGTTGGGGGATTTCATATTAATAATTTCTCTTTACTGCACTGTTGTCTGAATCCTTTGAATAAGGAATTTTCAAGGAGACTTTCTTAAAAGTTGAAAAGGACAAAGGGAAATCTTATTTTCTTGTCTCAAAACTCTTATAAGAATCACTATTTTTTTTTTAGAAAAATGTCATTTCAGTTATCCAAAAACTAAAAGAATAATGTGAAGATTGTAACACTCAACATTCTGTTTTTTGTTTTGGGGGTGGGGGATGTTGGGAGGGTAGTTCAGCAGCAGGAATTGAACGTGGGACATAGTGTTGCAATCATCAACTAACTGATGATGCCCAAGACGAAGTCCTGAACTTTTAATATAATCATTGAAATTATAAAGTTTGTTAGACTTCTTGTAGCCAACCCCAAATAGTTCGGATAAGGCTCTGATGATGATGATGATGATTAAAGATTGCTAGACTAACAAGCCTGAGTGGTAGACAAAGAATATGAATTCTGCGTTCTGAAATACCACATCTGTTAAAAAGGGAAATCTTTACTATTTTCTAAATTCAATTGCTTCCTAAAGTCTCGCTTTATGTGTTGTGTATCTTTAATGGGGCAGTGTATGAATCAAAGTTTAAGAAATTTTGGTACTCCTAAAATGTGAAGGAAACTCTTTATGAAACTTAATGTTTGTGTGTTGTGTGCTGGTGTTTCAGGCTTTCATGCCTATCACCTTTGTGGGGCTGAGGTGGGGTTGGTAATTTTCATAGTTTTCTTGTCTGTCTCCTATACTATTCATGGATCCAAGTGAATCTTATAAGACTGATTTGCTTACAGGAGAGGTGATATTTTCTCAGGAGCCATATGCCTCTGTGTTAGATAAAGGCTCGCTGAGTAACAGATGTGATGGTTGTTTTACTTCTGGTTTGAACCTCAAAAGATGCTCGTCATGTAGGATGACATGGTACTGTGGGGGTGCATGTCAGGTAGATACCTGTATCATCCCTATTCTCACAAACCTTGTAAATGACCAAAATAAAATGTTTTCTCTTTGCCTTTATGCATCCTGTTTGCCTAAGTAGTTTTTATCTTTGAGTGGTAACTGGTTTTAGTATAGCACTTTGATGATGTCAGAATACTAAATTGTCAAGTTGGTATTGGTCGACAATGTTTCTCAATTTTTTTGTATAAAAAAAAGAAGAAAAAAGAAGAAGCTAAATTCATGTGTTTGACTGTCTTTAAATGCTTTATGCCGATACATTTGCTTTCCTTGCATCTTTTTTGGCACATAATGTAGGTGCATCCATGCACCCTAATCAAGTAACATGCAAAGTTATGTCTGTGAATTATGTTATATTATATTGTACTAGATTGGAGTGGCTAGGTCAGCTTTTATTATTTTGTATTTTACCGTACAATGCTTGGCCTTGGAAAAATTTAGTCGATGAACTCAGTTACCACTCAAAGATAAAAAAACTAGTCTGAAAATTATGAAAAGGGTGGCTCAAGCCTAGGTAAAGGAGGAGGGGCAGCCAGAGTAAAACTTTGTCAAATCTTGTCATGAATACTAAACCTTTAAACAGAATGGTGGAACAAGATTCATGTAGCCAACCCCAAATAGTTGGGATAAGGCTTAGATGATGATGATGGTGAACTCACATGTGTTTATCTAAATTATAGAGTACTACTAGTGTGAAACAAAAATAAAATGACAATTGTATTTGATGAAGCATGTAAGGTGGTCGAAATTCCCCTAACAACATGCTATGCCTAATTATGTCTATTTTTTCTAACATATCAGCAACTTCATATTCTTCCCTAGGAACATGACTAACAAGGATAGGCTGTAGGTCCTTTATCTTTGCAAAGAGAATTCGACAATAGCTCTTTTTTATCTTTGCCATGAAAACATGACAATAGTTCCTTTAGCTCTGCAACAAACACACCCAACTTCTGTGGTACTTTGCCCTAATCTTGGCTAGTAGATGACATTTAGGAAACTGCCTTCAATAATCATGGGACAAATGAATCCTTAGGCTTTAGAGTACAGTTGTTCTTACTCCAGTAGCATTCAATTCCTAAAGGCCTGGCATAGCATTTGAGGGTAACTTTTCCTAATTTGTCTTGGTGACCCCAAGATTTGCAAAGCCCTGATGTCTTTTGCAGCCTCATCGGTTTTAGTTAATCGTGTTCCGTGATTTTGCAGAAGAGGCCTCAGGAAACTGGTTAGATGAGTCTTGCAGCAACCATCTCAATTCTCTACTACGATATCCGCTGTTATCATTTTGATTAATCTAGGCTATCCAAGTTTTTAGACACACCAGAAAGAGGCCATGTGAACCTACTTTTAGCTGGATAAAATTGCGTGATACCATCAAATGGTCTACTTTTTCTTTTCTTTCATTGCATGAGATATCTAAGAGATTAGCAAACTGCTGTACTAAAAACAATAGAGGAGATCTTGTTCCTGTAAAATAACTGCAGAAAGGCATAAGTGCGAGGTAGAGCCCCTTTTCTCCATATCCCCCAAATGGAACATGTGCAATTTACCAAAACGGACTTAAGGGAAGGCACTAGCCTCTCCTGTTTGCCCTATCAATTATGTCTCCCATATTGTTTTGCGAAACTCAGCAATGCTTCTACTTCTTCTTGTGGCTTGGAAATTTCGAGTGAAAAATCACAAGTCAAGTTTAGCAAGTTTCAACAATTATATGAGGTCATTATCCATTTTTATTTTTCTAGAAATTAAATTCACCTTGTAGATTTGCACTATGAAGGATTGAAAATAGACATACAACATCCAATGCCACGGAAACAAAGTTACAAAGTACAGACGCACTCATGGCAAAATTATTGTCATCCAAGAACTGAGCACCCTCCTGATCAGGCCCAGCACCATCTCTCATGTATTCCTCTCTTTGAATTCTGGTCTGCATGGACCTTAAAATACTCTAATCATCCATGAAAATAGTTGATTTGGTTGACAGTCGATAGACATAAGGTTTTTACTGCAATTTACAATTGACGCAAGGTTCTTAAGCATACTCAGAACACCTTTCTTCCCATAGCATTAAAGGTGACAGATTTAATTCCTTTTCCTTCTGCATCTTTTTTTTGAGAGTTCCCTTTCCTAACACGCTTTATTATGGTCTTCATGACATCCATTTGGTTTACTATATCAAGATAATGTGCACTTTCTCATCATGGTTCAATTCTCTAATGACACATTAAGAAATCACACATATAGGCATAATTCTATATTTCACTCATGTGATGTGTTCTATAGCTGTACCATTTTTTGTTTACAAGTATCCATATTTTGTATTATCGTGTCATTGTTCATTTACAAGTATCCTAGGACTACTTGGTATCAATATGGGTGTCGTATCACGTTAACATCAATATTTTAAGCAGACAAGCATTTGTCGTCATTGATCGCTAGGTAGTGTTTTTGAAATAATTATACTCCTTTTTGTTACTTTTATATCCTCCACCTTATTTTGTGATGTAATAAATTAATTGCAGTACAATCCCTGGAGTTTTTCGTCTTTGATGCACGAACCTCTTGTTTCTATTACCAATGGTATTTGTCCTTTCTTGTCGTCTTTTTAGAGCTACCCTACCACTTTATGTATGTTTTTTCATAGATGTGAATGAAAGTTCAAAGCTAACAACTGTCAAATTCTAGATGCTGCCCTTACTCCCCATGAGGCTATTTGTTTCAGATCCTTGTCTCGCCAGAAAGGCCTTATTATTAAACTTGACTGGGAAAAGGCCTTTGATAGGGTCAATTGGGACCTACTAGACTTGATCCAAGTTTGAAGGGATTTTGGAACTCTTTGGAGAAGGTGGATTCAAGCTGGTATTTCTAACCTATCTTTCTCTATACTCACTCATTAATGGATCCCCGAATGGATTCTTCCAGGCCCAAAGAGGCCTCAGGCAGGGGGATCCTCTCTCACCCTTCCTTTTCACCCTCATAGGAGAGCTCTTTACCCAAGCAATTTTAGTTATATGATAGAGCCGCCTCTTGGGTTTTGTAGTTCTTCGTCTGGTCCAGTAATTTCTCACATTCTCTAGGCAGATGATATCCTTATCTTCTGCGAAGGAAACCAACCCAATTTGATTGCCTTTGGCGCTTCCTGCGTACTTTTGAACTTCTCACTAGGATGAAAGTGAATTTAAAAAAGACAAAAACGCTTGAAGTCTGTGTAGGTGATGCTGAGCTTCGCAACTTAGCACAACGCTTGGGCTGTGCCACGAAACCTCTACCATCCTCATACCTAGGACTGCCTGATTGCTTAGGTAAACCTAGAAAACATCTTTGGGATAACCTTATAGAAAGATTCACTTGGAAGTTTGCCTCTTGGAAGGGTAGGTTCCTATCTTTTGGGGTAGAATCACCCTCATCCTAGCAACCCTTGCTAGCATCCCAATTTAATACATGTCTCTCTTTCAGATCCCCATCTTAGTCATTCAGTGCTTAGAGAAACTTATGCGAGACTTTGTATGGTCTGGTGTGGAGGGATAAAAAATTTTTATCTTGTAGCCTGGGATATTGTTTGCTCCCCAAAAGAATTTGGGGGTACTGGAATAAAAAATCTTAGAACCATGAATTTTTCTCTCCTCGACAAATGGTGCTGGAAGTTTTCATCCCCGCACCCCCTCCTTTGGAAACAGGTTATTTAGGTGAAATATGGTCCCAGTGGTGGGGATTGGCTCCCTAGATCCCCCACCCCATAGATCTTTTGGAGCGTGGAAAAGCATCTCTTCGACCAAAAATGCTTTCTTACTTTGGACTAGATATGGGTTTGGAAATGGTTCTCAAATTCTCATCTGATTTGACCTTTGGATTGGAAATTCCCCCCTCTTTGGTTTTCCTTACTCTCTTCCTAGTGGCGAGAGACCCTAAAGCCTTGATAGCGGATTATGTAGAGTTCAATGGTTCCAACTGGGTTTGGACACCTACTTTTAGAAGAAATCTTGCAGATCAGGAATCATCTTCCCTGTTAAGTCTGGTCCAACTTTTAGACCCCATTTTCTACACTTGCCCATCAAGACGCCTTAATAGGGTCCCCTGTCCCCTCGGGAACTTTTTCCATCTCTTCCTTCTACTCCTCCCTCCTTCCTGATCATAACCTTAAACCCCTCCTCAATTCCTCCTGGGCATCCCTATCCCTCACAAAGTCCAGGCTTTTGTGTGGGTTCTCCTACAAGGCAAAATCCTTACGCTAGATCAACTACAGAGAAGAGGTTTCTCTCCCCCTAACCGGTGCGTACTCTACTTCTAGGAAGAGGATTCTATTCCCCACCTCTTTATCCATGTTTCTCTCACTCTGTGGTCCTCCCTCCTTCAACTGTTCGGTTTGAAGTGGGCTACACCTCATAATCTGAACAGTCTCTTTGAGTCCTTCTTCTCCCCCCCTTTCTCTAAAAATGGGAAAAAACTTTGGCACCTCTCAGTAGTGGCTCTAATATGGAGTATTTGGCTAGAGAGAAATTCTCGAACCTTCAGAGGAACCTTGAAAAACACTGAAATCAGCCTTTGAGTTTATCTTTTCTCTTATTTTTCTTTGGGCCAAAAGTATCCCTATTTTCACCACAATTCCTATCCATCACTTTCTTAATAATTGGGCTTGCCTTCTGAATCTTTTAACCCATTCACTAGACCTTACTGGAGACAACACCACTCCCCCGTCTGGGTTTCCTAAAATTGAATACTGATGGGTCTCTTTTAGGTAATCCAGGACCTTCGGGCATTGGTGGCACACTTTTAGATTCCGCAACTTATATCTTCACCTTCTCGGAGTATATTGGGTACATGACTCCACTTTTGCAGAGGCCACGACTCTGTTTGAGGGCCTTAAGTGGGTGGCCCAGATGGGTATCAGCTCTCAAGGAGTCCTTGTGGAAGTTCACTCCAGCAACACCCTTCTTAGGGCCACCAGACAGTAGCAGCCACCTTGGAGGCTCGTTTCGATTATTG